TGATTCGGTAATAATAGTCTATTTGAATGAGAGATTTCTCCCTCCATTCCTAACATTCCGGTCATTTAATTACATATGTTAAGAGGATTTGAAATTTGGGTTCGTCACTGAACACTCCTGTAACATGGTCACTTTACCTACTTCTCGCTTCTAGAAGTGAGAATTATCCCCAATATAACATGGTCACTTTACGTACTTCTCGTTTCTAGAAATGAAGACCATCCCCAATGACCAACCGAGGTTCTTGTCCTTACTCACATGTATTCTAGAAAAAATTTTAAGAGGTCACCAAACATAAAAGGACGTGAGATCCCGGTTTCTTCATATCGTTACTAAAAAAAAAAAAAAAAAAAAGTGAGAATTTTGTAGTTGAAGTAGGAGACAACAAAGTATGCAATTTGGATGATCCAAGAGAATGACAAAAAGAAGTGCTTTCTTTTTTTATTTTTTAACATTAAATCTTTGGCCCCATCAATTATTCTACAAATTCAGACAATCTTTTGCACCACCATGCTTTTTTTACCTTTTTTATTTTTATTTTTTTTAAATCAACTCTTAGATTCTACCACTATTTTATTTTATTTTATTTTCAATAAAATTCAAATAAATAAATAACATTTTATTTTTATTAAAATATATTTCAATATGATAATTTTAAAATTGTGTAGGGACTAAATTAAAATACAGAATTTAAAAAAAAATGGTTATAAAAATATTAGAGTGGGGAAAATAATATTTCCTATGTTTCCTATTCAAACTACAAATCAACATTTTAATATAAACAAAGTAATAAAACCATTAATTAATTAATAATTAGAAACATCTTCATCCTTTCTGCTCTCTTGCTTATATTTCTCTCAATCATAACCAAAAAAGGTTTTAAATTTTTTGTTATAATAATCTTTCATTTTTTAATATAAATAATTAAAATTAAAAAATTAAAAATGATTTTTTCTTTGCCAAATACCGCTAGCAGATATTGTCCGTTTTTAGCCTGTTACTTATCGCTATGAGTTAATGCCTCTACTAAGGAGAGGTCTTCGCTCCCTTATAAGGAATGTTTCGTTCCACTCTTCAACTGATGTGGGATCTTACAATAATTTGGTATTAGAGCTAGTCACCAGACGGTGTGTCGGTGGATTGTGAGATCCCACATTGGTTGGAGAGGAGAAGCAACATTACGTATAAGGGTGTGGAAACCTCTCTCTAGTAGACGCGTTTAAAATAGTGAAGTTGACAATATATGCTAATGGTGGGCTTGGACGGTTACATGGAGATAGTTTTCACTCTTAAGAAATGAGGAGTAACGTGACCATGTCGTAGGGGATATAAGGGAATGCTTGAACTATCAAGTGTGCCGAATTCAGATTCCAAGTCTTGAACTTATTTATGTATCATTCTTTTACTCGGGTGTCACAACCTAGCTGTCTCGTCTCCTTGTTGAAATAGTGATCTATTTTGTACTTGAAAAAGTAGGAGACAATAAATTTAATTATTAAAATTATTTTAAAAATATATTTGGCCCCATCAATTATTCTTACAAATTCCGACAAAATTGCACGACCATGCTTTATTTACATTCTTCATATTCCCCCAATCATTTTTAGCCATTTTTTTATAAATAAAAACATTAAATATATATTTTGTTTTACTTCTCTTTTATTATATAATTATTTAATCTTTCTTCTTCGTAAACATTTTTAATTTCTACAGTTCTACGATTTTTTTTTGTGGGTTATGCAAATTGTTCTCGAGATTGATCTTCAACTTCGTGAAGAGTCGATTATTATCTCGAGATCTTCACGTTTTCAAACAGACGAGAGAGTGTTTAACTTCCGAACGAAATAGAGTTTCCTAGCTCTTATGGGTATGTGGACTTGGACTTCGATGGCTTTTGGACTTTGTTGTCTATGGACCTAACTATTTGGATCGAACCTTAAACTTAGATCCAAATACCATAAACCCTAAACCCCATCATTTTAATCCAGCTGTAATTGATTTATTTGTAATGATTATATCTCAGATCCACCGCTAGTAGATATTATCTGTTTTGGGCTTTCACTTTCGGGCTTCTCCTCAAGACTTTAAAACATGTCTCCTAGGGAAGGTTTCTACACACTTATAAATGGTGTTTTGTTCTCCTCTCCAACCAACGTGGGACATCACATAAAGTTTCCGCGCATAGAAATACTAAGAGAATTAAATTAATTCAAATTTTTTTTAAGGGTTCAAATAAATATTTAATATTATATATTTTAAATATAAAAAATACGAGAACAATATATTTAATTTAAAAGGTAGAAATTAATGAAATCACTAACTTTATGATTTAATTAATTTTTTTGAATGGAAATAAAAAGTATATAATATAATAATTAAAAATTTGAAAGAAGAAAATATTTGATATTTTGATAGCCCTAATACTATAGGTTATGAGAAGAATGATTAATGATTCCACTATTGTTAATGGGTATAGAGAGCCAATAAATACTAACTTTTCATATGCACCACTTAATATAAAGTGTTGCAACTATATATTATTATTATTATCAAAATAAAAAAAGACCACCTAATATATTTTAAATAACTATATAATTTAATTTTTATATTACTATTATTAGTATATGATAAATAATCAATATGTACTTATATTATCCACTCATTACATTAATTTCTTAAATTAAATGTTAAAATAATGGATATTTGAACAGCTTATTTTGCTAACAATATTAAATTATAAAATAATATTCTTAAGGAAATTAAAGTTATTAGGGTTATAGTTTGTAATTGATTAATATATATATATATATATATATATATATACATGTATAGTTGTCAATTTCTCCCTACCCAAAGTTATATACTGTGAGCCGTTATTGTTTCTTTCTTGCTTGCTTATACAACGTCTCTTTAAAAAATGATATGAACCAAGAGACATCAATCATACAATATGCTTCAATGAAGATGTGGAGAAAAGGTTATCAAAATAATCAAAAGATGTTTCAATTCATGCTACATTGAAGAAGAATAAAGTTTGATTGTTGTAAATTTTGGGTGGGTTATAATTTAGAGTTATTGTGTTTTAAGACTTTTTATTTAATTTCGGTTACATTTACATAATGGCTAATTATGGCCATAAAGTGTGAATGTTACAACTTTTGGAATGCCTTTAATAGTTTCATTTTGAGGCTATATAAAGCCATCTATGTTGTATTTGTAATCAGGACTTGGAAAATATATTAAAAGAAGCATTTGTGCTTTTCTGTAGCCAATGGCTAAGTTTATTTGCAACTCTATGTAGTTTAGGTTGCATGTAGAATCATTCAAGCTCGACATGATCAATCTTGCTTGTGGAGTGATTCAAATCTCAATCAAGTGTTCTTGTCTTGAGATATTTGATCAACAAGAATCATTGAAGCTAGACATGATCGATCTTGCTTCTGGAGTGATTCGAATCTCAAACAAAGTGTTCTTTGCTTGAGATATTCGATCAACAAGGTAATCCGAATCTTACTCCCCTTGTATTGATTCCTTATCTTATCAAAAAATCTCTCTTTGCCCTCGTTTTCTGAAACCTTCTCTTAAACTAAGACTAGAGGTTCGAGCATACGTCGCTTGACCGTAAGCGACGCAAGAACGAATTGGCTTAGCTTACTTGTCGTTGGAAAGTGAGTGCCGCACAATCACAAGTTCACTGCTATCAAGAGTGCGATTGTGACAAGTGGTATTATATATATATATGTCATGGTTTGGGACATGTTTGATAATATTTAGGTTTTTGTTTTTTTTAACAGGGGAGACGTGTTTGGTAATATTTGTTTAGGACATGTTTTATTTCTTGTTCTTTATTTATTTTTAATGAAAATAAGTTTTGAAATTAAATATTGAATTTTTTTTAATCTTATATTTATTGTACATTGTAGAAAAAAGAAAAAAAATTTATGTTATGGAAAAAAATATTCTCGACAAAAACTCTATTTTGACGGGAGCGTTAGGTTTTACTTAGGGTTACAAAACTACATAGTTTGCTTCCAAGTCAAACCGCTAGCGGCAGAAGTCAAATTGCTCAGATCTCACAAGTGAATAGAAAGTTAAATGTGACTTGAGTAGAGAAGAGATACATGAATGAACCAAGACCACGTCTGAATGAGAGCATAAGCATACTGAAATGACCAATTTTAGTAGGGAATAGACTTCACTTTTAAAAACAGTTTAATACGAGCAATTAGCGTGCACGATCATGTTGTAGGGTGATTATGCCCTTAGACTCGTTACGCTATTCGACTAAACTCATTGACTCTACGCTCTATTCGGTCAAAACCCAGTTCAACACGAAGCCATTGACACCAAGTCCGACTCCTATGTCACTAATCAAGGTCATAAAGTGCAAAATTTGGATTTCAAATTCTAATTCGAATATTCGGCATGAGACATTACAAATAGATTCATAAAATTTTTAATTTGTGTCTAATATGACTCAGTTTTACCCTAAACTTTCAATTTTGTATATAATAAGTCCGTAACATACTGAAAATATTTAAAATTTAACTGATCTATTAGATAAAAAATTAATTATAGGTATATCTTAGATAAAAAAAAACATTTTTAGGGTTTATAGATTAAATAGATATTAATTTAAAAAAAAAAACACAAAATTCCCATACATTTAAATTTATTTATATTATAAATATCTCATATATTAATTCATGAAATAATTAGAAGAAAATACTATGATTATATTAAATTAGCTATGAAATTTAAGAAATAAATTTATTCCCGGAAGTTTATATTTATATAACATGCAATAAAATTAAACCACTAAAAATAAACTATATTATAAGAAAATTAATACGATTTATATACATAAATTCCAAGCATAATTACCTTAGTTTAAAATAATAATAATAATAATAATAATAAAATAAAACGTCTTAGGGTTCATACTTATCAATATTTAGGGTTTTTTTTTCTTATTTAATTTTACAGACAATTATCACACACAAACACAAGCAGAAAATTCAGTTAAAAAAAAAAAAAAAGAAATTCAAATTATCACAAAAACACCCATACTTCCATTTGATTGGTAGCCGTTGATCTGAAAATCCAGAGAAGATATCGGACGGTCTTAACAGCAGAAATCTCCGGCGAGATTAGAATCGGCGACGCCCATCTGAACGTACGGCCCCGCCGTAGGTTCAAACTCCGGTGCGGCGGTGCTGCAGCTCTCCTCCAGCAGCCAAGTTTGAAGATCCAGCAATTCCTCATCGGAATAAGACAAAGAGTTTCCGTACAGTAATTCATTAGGGTTTCTTGTAATGTAGCCGTTAAGAATGATTTGAGCTGCTTGTTCTCTCAAATAAGCCACTTGAGCCCTTAGATTCACAACCTATTAACATCTCCAAAAATTAGGGTTTCGAATAACCGATCACGAAAAACACGAAAAACGTTAAACCGACGAGTACTAAGCTCGATTATATAAATTATCGTTCGAGTATACGTTAAGTAAATGTAACGCCCGAGCCCCAGATCCACCGCTAGCAGATATTGTTCTCTTTGGGTTTCTCTTCAGGGCTTTAAAACGCGTCTGATAGGAGAAGGTTTCCACACCCTTATAAATGGTGATTTGTTCTCCTCTCCAACCAACTTGGGACATCACAGTAAATTACATAACATATAACGCGAGAGAAAAAACGACCTGATGTTGGAGAGCGAAAATCTGGGAGATACAGCCGTAGATCGGATCTTGAAGTCGTGCTTGAGCTTCGTAGGAGATGGTGACGGCGGCTAGGCTCCGGTGAGAGACGGGGAGGTGAGCGAGAAGCTTGGAAGCGTTGCTTGCACCGAAAACTTTGTGGACGGCGGAGAAGTGGGAGGCGCCGAGGTCGTGGCGGAAATAAGGAGCAAAGATGCAGCCATTGACACACTTTCTTCTAAGGAACTTGCAAGCTCCACAAGGAGGAGAAGAAGAAGAGGAGGCCGCCATTGATGGAGCTGTAGAGCAATAATTAAGAACAAAAATGGTGAGAAATGGAAGAGGGTGGGAGGGTGTATTTATATTATAATCAATACTTAATCAACTTAGGTCTTCTTAATGGGCTACAAATTTTAATTTACATTCTTATTATTCTTATTCTTATTATTATTATTCTTTTTGGAATATATTTATTATACGACAAAAGGAGATGTTAGAAACAAAATCCGCTAAATTTGCTTACATGTTTCATCTGCCTTCTTGTTTTTGGTTTATTTTTATCAATTTAGTCCTTTTATTTTAGCGATTTTACGTATTTAGTCCTTTTATTTTAACGATTTTACATATTTAGTCCTTGAATTCGGGTCGTTTTTGTTAAATGTACTAAAATTTTGGATTATTTTGTTAACTTAATTCGTGTGTTGATTAGATTCAATATGCATTTATGCTAGCTCGACTATATATATATATATAAAATATGGTTAGACGTTGATTATTTATTTTGTAGCTAGGTCAGAATGTTTGAATCTTGGGACACGTACGATCTTTATAAAATTAAATTTTGTTTAATTAATATTATTTTAATGAAGGTTACGTAATTTTGTTTATTAGGAAGGAAGAATTCGGTTAAATTCGAAGTTTAGTTCATAAAGTTATAGGTTTGGTAAATTTGGTCTCGGGATTTTTAAATAAATATTTTATAAATTTTTGAGCTCTTAATTTGTGTCTATGGGTTATCGTAAGATCTGAAGTTTCAATTTTGTATCTAATAAATATTTGAAATTATAAAAATAGTTAAAATTAAGTAAATAGTATTTTAAATATTATTAAATACAAAATTATTGAAAATTTAAGAATTTATTACGTATGATTTCAGTTATTATTATTTTTAACATTAGGATTAATATGAGGATAATTAATTTTGATAATGAAAATTAGATTGAATTGAGAATATTATTAAATAGGAAATTTATTTACAAAAAGAAAGTAGAATTTTACCTTACTATTTTGTCCGTGATGAAAGAAGAATTTAATTTTTTAAATTTATTTTCAATTATATATTGAAGATTTCTTAATAAATATAATAAAATAAATTTATAATATATATGTATTTAAAAAAAAAAAAATCAAGGAAGTCATCAAAAACACGCTATGCACCTTCTCGGTTCATTCATGTACGTCTTATTTACTCGAGTCTCACAGAATCAAAGCAAATTACACGTACTAACCTTCACGTCAATTAGAAAAGCGAACATACCCAATTCGAGCATAAGTCAAAATAGGTCTCTCAACCCGAACGAGCCATCCAAACTCTAAGCACAAGAGAGACGATATTTAATTCAAAGCATAACATAAAATAATGAACTCAAACCGAGTTCGTGTCTTTGTTACTCACTGAAATCGCCAAAAATCAAAGTTCATGGGTCGTGGATGTCGGAGTCACATCGAAGAGACAATCGATATAAACACTTCACCCATTACGAAAACACCGAATCGTCTTTGATTTATTTAGAATTAAACAAAAACAAAGTTAGGGTAAGCTGACATCTTTGTATGGTGGCTTAACACCTTTTTCCTTATGGGTTCACTCACCATAATCAATCTAAAACTTCATATATATATATATATATATATATATATATATATATTATATATATGCAATAGAGAGCCCCAACAAGATTTGCTTTAAATTGTGAAGCTGCCTTCATCCATATGCTGGTGCTGCATATGTCAAGCATCCACTTATCCATTGATGGATATCTATTTATGAGGTAAGCTGTTCTTATTTGGTATCATAAAGTTGTTGCAGTTCTTGAATTTGATCCGTTCTTAAGCACTTTTATCTTTGTTTTTTTGTTTGTTGTTCTTTAGCTCTTCCTTTCCTTCCTGGATTGTTCTTGAATTGTGTTCTTCTTTGTAATCTTGTTCAACTAATGTTTTTACTTCTACAATTTACAACAAAAAGCTGGTTATGCTCTCATGGAAGTCAAGGACATTGTGGGAATGTTGAGAGGCTCTAAAGTAGGGTAGTCATGTGAGAGACTAAGAGACTAAGGTTGAGTCACTATGACCAAATAAGCACATTGGGACGCTCGGTACTTTAGCTCAAGGACATGTGTTAAGATGTAGTGTAATAGTCTTAAGCCCATCGCTAGTAAATATTGTCTATTTTGGTCCGTTACGTATGAGTGTCGACCTCATGGTTTTAAAACGTGTCTCTTAGGGAGAGGTTTCCACACCCTTATAAGGAATGCTTCTTCCCCTCGGCCAATTGATGTAGGATCTCATAATCCACCATCTTGAGAGCCTAGCGTCCTTGCTGACACATTATCTGGTGTTTGGCTTTGATATCATTTGTAACTATGACCAAATAAGCATCATAGTATTGGGATGCTCAGTATTTTAGCACAAGGACAAGCGTTGAAATGCTATGTAATAGCTCAAGCTCACTGCTAGTAGATATTGTCCATTTTGGCCTATTACGTATGGCTGTCAGTCTCACGATTTTAAAATGCATCTTTTAGGGACAGGTTTCCATACCCTTATAAGGAATGTTTTGTTCCCTTTTCCAACCGATGTGGCATCTCACAATCCATCCCATTGGGAGCCCAACGTTCTCGCTAACACATCGCTCCGTGTCTGGCTCTGATACCATTTGTAACTATGACCAAATAAATGTCATAGTATTGGGATACCCAGTATTTTAACATAAGGACAAGCGTTGAGATGTAATGTACCAACCCACACCCACCGCTAGCAGATATTGTCTGCTTTGGCCCATTACGTATTGCAATCAGCCTCACGGTTTTAAAATGCGTATTTTAGGGAGATGTTTTCACACCCTTTTAAGAAATGCTTTGTTCCCCTCTCCAACTATCGTGAGATCTCACAATCCACCCCTCTTGGGGGGCCAACATCCTCTCTGGCACACCGCCCAGTGTCTGTCTCTAATACCATTTGTAACTACGACCAAATAAGCGTTATAGTATTAGAATATCCAATGCACAAAGACAAGCGTTGAGATGCTAGCTCCGAACGATTCTTTGAACACACCAAAACTATGAATAGGTAAGCTATAAGAATTTGTAGACAACCCACAAAGTGTGCCCAACATTGGGATCTAAGCAGTAGAAACACTTGAAGAAATTTAAGTGATAATGATTTGATGCTTGTTGAAGTAAGTCTTGACATGGTGGTATGAAAATGGGTTGTGTAAATCAATCATAAGCTCATAATGATGTTGATATGAGAAAAGATTCATTCTTTATTTGTAAACCCTACACATCTAATACTCACATGATCAAACATGGAGTGAGTGGTGAGTGGATGAGAATATGACAATAAACTTAGTACTTTTAGAATGAACACAAAGAGAATGTCTTGTCCAACAGTGTCATTCAATCCATGTAAAGTGGACTAAATGGGCATACTTTTATTTTCTTTAAGGGAAAAAGCTCTAACAAAGCATGTAGTGGCCAACAAGCTCAAATGGCTTAATGCCTTTGTGTTTGTCTTTGTTGATAAGCCATTGAAGTTGATCTCATGCACAATGGTAGCCCATTTCATGTCACAAACTACTCGACTGTTCATAGGGGAGGGAGGTGGGTGAGGGGCTTAATTATTAGGGTTTGGGATATGGGTCCCAAACAAACAGCCCTACATGTTTATGGATATGGGTGACATGACAAATACTTTATGTGTTTGGATTAGCTTATTATATGTTGTTTTATGTTGTTCATCTCGAGAGAAGATTGCGATGAGTTTTTTGGGCTGGGAATCACTTTTTTGGCAAAAAAATGATCCCGTTCTCTGGAAAAAAGATACAACTTCATCAATCAGTCTCATTCTTGTTCGTTATTTTGAGACCTAGATTCTCGAGTATTAGGTCATTTATTCTAGTACGTAAGCGTCTTGAATCTGGATCTTTGAAGGAGTATTTGTGATTAGATGCATAAGTAATGAGACTACTCCTAAACAGATCATCTTCAACCAATATTATTAATATCATCTCTTTTTGTTTTCTCTTTTATCGAGCTTCGAACAGATCTCAAACTGATTGAACTCGATAGTTTGGCACTACAAAGCTAAAAAAATTATGCATCTCTGTGGCATGAAGCTCGATCGGTATAAGATTTTTTTTTTCTTGTCTATATTGATCTTCAAACTTTGAAGTGTAAGAGTCTACCAAGAATACATAAGATTGCATACGATAGGAAAGATCTATTCAAGAGAGAGTTAAAACATTACTTGGATACAACATTAGACCAAAACCTTCGAAAAACTTAAAGGCACACAATATCACGATACTAAATAAAAGCGTTCCGTAAAAAAGATGAGGCATACATCTTTTTTGGTGAAGTTGACTAGTGGTAGCATTGAAACGTTTTAGTGTCTCGATGCTATACAAAAAATGTTATGTCATAAAACGAGACGAGCACATATTTTTGTTGAAGTTGCCTTGTAGTAGCATTGAAACGTTTGAGCGTCTCAATATTCTAGCCCTTTCGTAGTGCTTTCTTTTGTGTTTTATAGCAGCATTGAGACTACGTTGTCCTCTCGACAGAGTTGACTTTCCAATCTAGTTTTGACTTATCATAAATTTGTTACCGACAAGAAAAAAAATGTTAAAAATCTAAAAATTTATAGATTAAATCTATAATTCAAAGAATTGGACAACATTTCATAATTCCCAAAGACTTAAACATCTAGAGACATCCAACAAAAGGTTATACAACAGCTACATTCCAAAACCTTGAGATGAAAAAGTAGAAGCTGTGGGCATTATTAAGCATCCCGGGTAGGTCATTTGGGATTTGTGACAGTGACTAAAGTGAACTACAAAATGGCCGCACTCTATTTCTGGATTGCCGTCCACGTGTCACCAACAAGATTATTGATTGTGACGTTGACGTAACCCGCGGGTGATACTGTTTTTTTACCTTCTGTTTTTGGGTATTTTATTTTTCACTTTTTTATAATAATGTTATTTTAACTGCGGGCCCCACTTAGTACCACGTTGATTGCTTCCAGCTCAGCATTTGGATTTGCGTTAAAAAAAAATGTCCAAATCTATTGCATGCCGTAAGAAGCACGCAAACTCTAAAATTCACATAAAAATAAATAAAATAATCATATTATTAATAATTAAAGTTTTAATTATTAATTAACTTTTTAAATTATATTAAGTAGATACGAAGTTAAATAAGTATCTAATCTATTAAATATACACAAAATTGGTTCATTCTCTCATATTCTTACGCTTGCTCGGTTTTTCAACATGAATTTGAGAGAGTAGCCTTCAATAGCAGGAAGATAGTACAAAATTCGTAGAGAGAGTAGCCTTCAATGGCAGGAAGATAGTACAAAATTCGTAGCTAAAAGGGTTCGAACTAGGAAATAACTTATGGTACCTACTTCACCTATTTGGCTATTCTATTATGGATCGGTTTGGCAACAGAAGAGAAAGACCATGATCAGTTCACGAGCTTGCTCGAGTATGATCGTAGCTTTCTTCTCTCCCCTCATCCCTATCCCTATACCTATACAGATACCTATCTAGTTCCTCCTATTCCCCTGTCTTTTCAGCATCTACCAATTTGTTCCTTTTTCTTACCTCGAGCATGCATGCATGCATTCAATGATTTCTTGTTCTTTGCCTTATCTATATATTCTTTTCTTTTGAACGTTAAATCACACCAGCAGTTGCTTCGGCTTTACAGCAAGGTGGAAGGGATGTCATTACCAAACATTCTTCTTTTATGTTGGGCTGCCCATCAAACTCATATCAATTTCTTCGGAGTTAGGAGTTACGTTTAAGAAATGATTAACCCGACTGAAGGTAGGGTTGGTTTTAGTTGAGTTTTAGACGACAGATTGAGTTTTAGATGCCTCTAGAAAGTCATTTATATGGAAACATTTTTTCTATAAGGTAAAGTTGAAACTCGTATAAGTAAACACAAGCAGAGGTATCATCTGTAAATGTTCCACCTAATTGTAACTAATCTAGAACTTGTCGAAGTAAGAATATCCAAACATACTTTGTCCAAGAGGTTCGATACTATTGCCCTCTGGCTCTCATAACCAAATGAGAGAAAGATCGACAAACAACCAGGCTATGTGAGACCCCACATCAGTTGAAGAGAGGAACAAAACATTCCTTGGAAGGGTGTGAAAACCTCTCCCTAATAGATGTGTTTTAAAATCGTGAGGTTAACGGCAACATGTAATGGGCCAAAACGGACAATATCTGCTAACAGTGGGTTTGGGCGGTTACAGACTACTTAGTAAAAAGAATAAAAACATTGTTTTAACTGTGGTAAGAAATAAAAATAGAAAAGGAAATCTGCTAAGATGTGAGAAAATATATAATTTTCAATATCTTTTTTGGTAAGATTTCTGTATCTTTCATTCCAATTGAGGAAAGTTTAGATATATCCAAATGGAACAATAAACATAGATAATTACTGTCTATATTGCTCCAATCTTGACTATCTCCACTAAGTCAAAGGCATATCACCTATAAAACTAAACAAGCTCTCAGTTTCTAACTATATCAATTTGTTGTAGACAAACAAGAGATGGGGCTGATTCTAACCTTCGCAATTGATGCTATTTTCTGTTTGTTGCAACTTATTGCACTTGAGGAGATTGCATGAACAGGAACTGCAGGGTGCATTAGCTTAAGTTACTTACAGGTGTATTTTAATTAGACAATATAGAAAAACGTATCCATTAAAGTATGGTCAGGGAGTCCAGAATGTATACCTCAAATGATCTTCCCAACCTTTCATACTCCAGCATGCTTAGTGCAACCTCACAACTCTGCGAGACAATAGGCTCAGGATCCTTTGCAAACTCCTTGAGAAGTGCTATGCTTCTTTCGTCTACAAATACAATGAAAACAAAATAAGAATCCAATTAATAAAGAAGCACACAGCAACTGAGGCACCGCCTATAACTTGTTATTTAGCGTAACAAAATATCCTTCTTCTGATCAGTTACCGCTGGACTTGAATTTCATGTTCCAGCATAGTTCTACTATTCATGAACTAACGTCCTAATAGGTAACTCAGTAAAGATAAGGTTTAAGTCCTGTTTTTTATATTGAATTTTGTAGTAAGAAACATTTAATAAAGGATCTCAACAAGCTTTTCAGACGATTATTGGACCAACACACACACATACACACACACACACACACACACACACACACACACACACACACACACACACACACACACACACACACCCACACACACACCTTACAAAAATCCACACGTCTAGGCCTAGAGTATGGAAGCATCAAGGATTTTTCTTATACTCATGGCAAGCAACCTCACCAAGGGGCGTGCCACTCTGCCTTCAGTTTGAAAGTTTTCTTCCCCTTAAAATTAGATGCCTACATTTCTAAACAGCCTCTCAGAAAAAGCTCCAATTTGTTTGATTTATTGTAATGCTCACGTTTCAGGATGCTATGTTTTCTATTTATAAAATAGTTATCTTATTTGGATCATATTTTGTGTGCCTCATCAGAAAAAATATACACCTCCCTTTTGTACCCCACTCTTGAGTCTTGAAAGAGCTTATATGACTTGATAGTCAAAAAATGAAGGATCGAAACATACTAGTTACTTGGATAGTATGCAAATGAATTCTTATGTTATTTATAATAACTAAAACTAAGACCTATCACATTACAATAACAGATCACTTTTTCAGGATTCTTTACAAAGCACATAGTCCGGTTGTATTTTCTTTCTAAATTTAAATCAGAAGGTGAAGAAGGAAAAAAATAATACTTTTGGGTTCCAAAAGAACAAGCATGTTTAACAAAACAACAAATAAATTATACCTGCAATGGAACCAAGAGCTTCAGCAGCCTCATGTCTAACCATTGGATGCTCATTAACATCCTCAAGAATATTGGAGAGAGCATCTGAAGCTGCTTTGTTTTGCAATTGGCCTAATACATAAGCAACCTAATAATTCAAGAAAGTAGCAACATCAAATCAGGAAATGGCGTCTCCACAAAGTGGCATGGCATGCTGAGCATTCAAACTAAATTAATGTCCAAAAATCTGTTAGGTTTGTTTCCAAAGGTAAAAGAATTAAGAATTCAAGATCAGACTAAGTTCGAAAAGAGAATAAAGAAAAATGACATATGATTATTAAGAAATTACAATCCACGTTAATATGGTGAAATAAAATTATGGGTCATTAAAACAAACCTCATGCTTTAGCAGAGCACTTTTGGACCTTAAAGAGTTGATAATTGCAGTTAAAGCTTCATCGTTGCCATTATTCCGTAAAGCAAAAAGGGCTGCATAGCGCTCATACATGCCCTTATCATCATCCAGAAGAATTTCCCTTCAAATGGATAAATGAGGTAGTAAAAGTAATCAGAAACCATTACTACAAGCTACTATCAAGCAACATCCTTATTATAGAAGGTTGATAGTATATAGCATTTATTACAATTGCCTCGACATACCTAAGTTGACATACTGAAGAATCAGAAGAAGCTGGGGCAGCTGGATCGACAGACAGAAATGGTGACTTTTCAACTGTGGATGATTCACCTTCTTTACTAGAATCTTTCAGTTGTTCAATTCTCTTAAGGGCCAATTCACATGTCTCTTTAACCTCTTGAGCAGGATCTAAAGCCAAGCTCTTTTCCAAATAAGGAATATTACTCTCTGAGCCAATAGCTCCAAGAGCTTCTGCTGCCTACACCATTACAGAAACAAATACAACAGGTTAGATGGAAGAACAGAACACTAGATCAAATTCAAAACAAGCAGGATAACAAGGGGGGCTCTATAATTTCACCTCGTGCCGAACAATGGGGTGCAAAGAAAGATCGTTAAGAACAGTCACTAACGCTGGGATTGCATCTGTATCTTGCATTTGGCCCAATGCAAATGCAGCCTCATGAGCCAACAAATTCGAAGGATCTCTAGTCGCTAAGCACAGAAAAGTACGTACAATGAGTTTCTTTCTTTCCCCTTCTAGATTAATTATATTTCCGGCCTTACATCGTAACGTGAAAAATATGCCTCAGGCTCTCCATAGCAGGCAAGTTTAAAAGAATAACATGACGTAAAAGTTAAATAAAGACGTCGACCAAATATCAATCAATATCAACGAACTCCATAGCAGATTACCATTCTCAGATAGCAAACCCCGAGGGCATAACTAAACAGACTACTTCCAAGAAATTGCAAGGCATTTATTTCGACAATCAATTAAACGGAATAAGAACAAAAATGAACAGATTAAACACAACTCGAACTTCAAATCACAGGAAAATTTAGAAAAAAAAATGATTGAGCTTACCAAGAATGAGGGCATCGCGAGGGGCGGGGCCCTTGAGGTTGCGGAGGGAGAACAGAGCTCGGAAGCGCTCGGCAATGGGCTGAGAAGGGTCGTTCAAGCGGTCGCAGAGGAACTTCTCCATCTCTGAAGAGCAGGCGAAGGAGGTGATTTCTGCGTCGTCATTGACAAAGGCCATGAGATTGGACCTTCCGTAGAGAACTGGAAATTGGAGGGAGAGTTTTTCACAGAGCGAAAATCGTGAAGGTTAGAGCTTACGAGTTTAGCACAGCAGAATTTTGGGGCATGGGGGTAATTTCGTAATTTGAGTTGCGTAGAATAAACGCGGGGTTTTTTAGTTTTATTTACTTTAGTTGGAAATAAAATATTAATTAGATATAAATCTGATTTATTTTATCTTTAGTGCAATTTCATTATCTCTATTTTTTAATTCATAATAATTTAATTTTTACTTTTAAAAAAACCCATCAAAATTAAGTATTAATTTTATTATTTAACAATAAACATATTTAATTCTTAATTAGTTTGATTTACTTAGATAAGAAATTAATTATTTTTCGCGTTACAAATTTGAAATTATATTAACGTTAATAAATTGTTATAAATTTTTTTAAAAAAAAATTGGATTAAAATTACCATCATTTAACATTTATTATTATTATTTTATGCTTAAAAAACATGGTTTTTGCAGCTATTCAAGATTAATTTATTTTTTTAGAATGAAAGATTTAAACCCGATTCTGTACTTGAATGCTTGGGAGAGGATTTCTTTCTTTGCCTCATATTTATTGCCATAATTATGATAATAATGTCAATATACTACATTATTTTATTATTATAAAATAATATAAATGAATATGACTATTTGCTTAAATCATTTTTACGGTAACATATATTAACATAATAAATAATTTATTAAACTGTTAATTAATATTTTGTAGATTATATCAATTAATAATTAATAATAAAATAAGTTATATATACACTACTCTAAAAAAATGTTTCTAATTGAAATTATAAGTCCTCTAATCAATACCTTAATTAATAATTCATATTTCACAAATATATAAAAAAACGAGAGAATTAATTATATAAAATAAATACAAATATTATTTCTTATCATTTCTATAAATATAAATAATGCATTGAAAAATAAGCATCAGATATCTTTAATTGTTTTGAAGCCAAAATTTTTAAATAATCTATTAGAATTCTGACATCACTTCCAAAGCATATCTAGGATAAGCAAAATTTCTGTTAAATGGAATAAAAGTTTAAGCCAAAGTGCACAACGATAACAATATACTTGAAATATACGAATAAGAAGAAAAAAAAAATGTCCCAAACAGATGCATTTAAAAGATAATCTACAAGTTTAATAAATTCATGCAGAGTCGAACTTTGAAGTCTATCAATCAATCAATCAAAAGTGCAGCAATGAGTCAGTAGAATTTACTCAATTGCAAGAACTTACACTCAAAATTATTCATTACTATTGACAGCTTTAGTACAACAAAATTCTGTACGTGTAAAAAGTGGTCAAAATATTATTTCACAATGGTGTAATTAAGCCTTAAAATTCAGCACTTTCCAGATAGATTATCTATAGCCAGAATGTCGATAGTATCGTGAAGAATGACGTTAACAAACTGATGATAAATATAGAATATTAGCAGAGTGTTTCAGGAGATCTAAGCATTCAAATGTGCATATACATTTGTATATATATGATAGAAAAAAGTAACTGAGGCCAAAAGGGTTCTAAGCTAAAACATTCAGATGTGCACATTTGGCCAAAAGGGCCTTATTAGAATGATCTAAGCATTCAAATGTGCATATATGATGGTGTATTTGAACCTCTGCAGTCAAGTTATGTACTATCTTCAATCATTTGAATGTTGAATGTAGGTGCTAAAAGCTAAAAATGCCTTTGAAAACTGAGGAATTCTATGACAACTGTTCCTACTTATACTTGGAGTTATAATATAGAAATTATATTTGGAGGAAAGAAGAAATGTACAGGAGGAGGTTGCATTAGAAGTAGTCAGAGAATCCCCCTTCCCTGTCATTGTCAGATCCTGCAAAAAAAAGTAAATGGAGCACTGTTGCAAAAAAACTTCGATCCTAAACACAGGAACTTTTTCGAGAGCCAAGAACAGAGCAAGTGTTCAATATGTCCACATCATTTTTCACCATTCCAATCAGAAAGTGAATGTTCTGCTAAGAGTTTGATCAATCAAAAAATTAACTGCTATCAACAATGAACAAGCGAGTTCTATAGCTTTAGTTTCAGAAGTATTATTTGAACGATGTTTGAAAACAAGCGAATTCTTTTGTTTGATGGTCTTGAATCAGCTAGGCTCAAAGCTTCTCGATGGTGTTAGGTACCTTGCTCTCATCTTCTTATTTTCATTAGCGAAGTACAGAGATATTTTATAATAAAGAAAAACTAACTGATCCCCTAAAGAATATGTAACAATCCAAAAAAAAGAGGAAACAATACAAAAAATAGGAAAGTTGACCAAGGGATTATACCAACGTTTCTAAAATGCTTTCTTCAACATTCCTCTTAAAGTCAGGAATAGATGTCATCCATTTCTAACTTGGGTATTAACTCATGAAACATTGGGTTGTGTAATCATTTTGTTAGCACATCTACTAGTTGAAGCCGTGAGGTACATACCTCATGCATACTATCCTCTTTTCTAGCTTCGCCGTTGATAAAATGTTGATAGATTTCAACATGCTTTGTCCTATCATGCTGGATACGATTATGAACAACATTGATGGTTGATTTGTTGTCATATTACAACTTTATCGAACCTTCTCTTAATCTATAAGTCATCAAGTATTATCTTCAACCATAAGAGCTCACATAGCCCTTATGCAATGGTTCAAGATTCTGATTCAGCACTCCTCCATGTTACCAAATTACCTCTGAGAAAAGTACAATACCTCATAGTAGATCTTTTGTCCACTCTTGATCCAACATATTCAAGGTAAATGTAAGCTTCCAATGCAAGGATAAGTAATGTAACACTCTATATATTGTCTGAGGTTCCCATGGATCAGGCATAAATTGACTAATTACATTAATTGAGTAGCTATGTCCGGTCAAGTGTGAGCTAAATATATAAGACTCCCCCACTAGCCTTTGGTGGTACATCTCTCTGTATAATACAAGTTCTTCTTTTGACTCTCTTACTTTTCCATCAATAAATCCATCACTTCTATTGTGATACGAAAATGCCTTGAGCTGAGTATGCTACTTCAACAACGAGAAACTTTAGTCTTCCAAGTTTTTTGACCGCAAATTCTCACATCAATTTCCTTATAAGTTCAGTCTTTTTTTATTTATTATCTTCAATGACTATGATCTCATCTACATACATTAGAAACACTCAAACTCTCTTTGATCCTAAGTGCTTGATAAAGAGAATGTGATCTCCTTGATTTTGCTTATACCCACAGCCTTCCATTACTTTTTTGAATCATCTAAATCATATCCTTGGTGATTGTTTTAGTCCATATAGCCTTCACACTCCACCCTTGAGTTTTCAAATCAAGAAGAAATGCTCATGTAGATGTCCTCATCTAGATCACCATGAAGGAAGGAACACATTCCTACGAGAGTTGTCAATTTAAGTTGGCAACCAATGATAACAATATTCTCACGATGTTTTGCAACCAGGGCAAATGTCTTATGGTAATTGATGTTGTAAGTTTGAGTATATCGCTTAGCTACTAACCTTGCTTTGTACCTTTCCAATAATCCACGAGCCTTGTACTTTACTAATGAAAAGCCACCTACACCCAATTATATTTTTTCCTTTTGGTCAATCCAAAACTTCTTCCACGTGTTGTTCTTTTCTATAGCATTAGGGGTAACAATTAAATTAAGACTCACTCTTATCTTATGTGATAAGGATATTCTTTCAAGATAGATATAATTTGATATGAGGTATAAGGGTCGTTTTGTGCATGCTCTAGTAGGATTTTGGAGAGCTATGGGTCTATCATCTATTGGTACATGTGTTCCATCTTCATTTTGAGTCAAATCAGATGTTTTGACTTGTATCCGTTCTAAAATGATTTTCCTTTTAGCATATATCTGATAGAGGAGGTGGAATGGATAGTTCGACCAGTGACTCTATGACTCTGTAGTAATATAAGAGGACCCATGATTGGGATTGGTAGTAGAATAGGACTCAATAATTGGTCCTATGTGCTAGTTATTTAGTGTGCCCTAGGGTTCAACGGTTTCTCAAAGTATCTCTTCAATCAATTTTGAGACATAATCTAAAAAATACAATATGATGAGGAGAAAGTAACACTGAAGTGGCAGTCATGGATAAACTTTTGTATGGAAATGAGACTATTAGTTAGTTTTGGGACATGTAGAATGTGTTTTAGTGTAAGGGTCTAAGAGATGAATACACCTCCTATACCTGCAATGGGGACATTGGTTTCATTTTCCAATGTAATTTTTCTATTGCTTGAGCATAGTTTATATGTTTTAAAACATTGAGAGTAAGGAGTCGTATGATCAGTTGTACCCAAATCTATAATCCAAGAGTTAACCTAACTTATCTCCAAAGGACTTATACAAAAGGTGAATCAAGACTTACCTAAGATTGTCAAGGCACTAAACTTGGTGGATTGTTGAAGGAGTCCAATAACACATTCAATCTCTCCATTATTGAATCCACCGGTCTCCATGATTGCGCTGTACGCTCGTGCTTTTGACATTTCTCCCTTGTTTCTCCAACCATGGTTATGTGAGCCTCCCCAATTTTTCCATTTCACATTGGGAGGTTTTCCGTTCAACTCCCAACAACTCTCCTTCGTGTGTTGTAGTTTCTTGCAATTTGTACACTATAAACTGTCTTTGTTACTATTCCAATGGTTGTCTCTTCCGTCGTTTCTTTCTTTCTCTCCATCAAAGGCTGATTCATTAAACTGGGTTGTTTGTTAGGCATGAGGCTCCGTCTGCTCACTTTTGTTCGAACAAGGAAAATTGTTTCTTCTAGGGACAGCATTTCCTCTTTTTCAATGATTTGTACACGGACTTGGTCAAACTCGTTGTTGAGACCTACTAAAAAATCATAACCACGATCTATTTCAATAAATTTCTTCTGAATTACAACATCTGCAGTGCAATTTAATCTCGAATACCCAATAAGAATTGAGTTCTTTGCACAATGTTTGCAAGACATTGGCATGTTCTGGGACACTTTTTTCGCCTTGCTTGATGGCTTCAGTCATTACCTTGATTTCATAAAAATGAGCAACATATAGAGCCTTGGAGTAAATGCAATGAATGAAAACATACATGTACCACCAATGGACGACTTTATAGAAACCTAGAGCCATGATATCATCATGAAGTCTTCATCGTCCCATGCAGTAAATCCTAGATCCGTCTTCGCTGGTCCGAGTCCAATAAGGTGTCAAAGTTTTCTCTTTCCCTTAAGGTATGTCCACACACTCTGAAACCATTTGAGAAAGATTTTTCGCTTAGTCGGTATAACAATCAAATAGGTTGAATGTTACAATTCTTTTGGGTTGTAGGAACTTCCTCGAGAATTTTGATTCTTCTTACATGATCATGATCTTAGGCAAAGAAAGCATCTGTCCAAAAGGACCAAGTGGGTCTTAGTTGGTAATTGAAGCTGGATTGTTTCGTCTGTGATTGAAACACCATCTGTGATTTCCAAATTGTCTGAGATTGAAATACCCCCATGGGTCTTAATCTGTGATGTTCAAATTGTTTCGCCTGATTGAAGCTTCTGTCCAAGTGGGCCAAGTGGGAAATTGGGCCTTAATCTGTCCAAGTGAGCTTCTGAATGGTTTATGATACACCCGCGCCTAATAGGCCGAATGGGAAACGGGAAATGGTTTCTGAAGCTTTTGAGTGGGAAATGGGCTGAATGGGAAATGAAAACAGTTTCTGAAGCCTTATCAAATGGAAACAGATTTGCCTTTATCAAACGGAAATAGATTTGAAAGCAAGTGGGATGAGAGACGAATGGGAAATTGTTTGGAAGCAAGTGAGCCGAGGGAAGCTATCGGTGAGTTTCTGTCCAAGTCCCGTAGCCGAATTGTCAGTTGGGTCTGGATGCGAGATGGATCCTATAAGTGCTGACGGCAACAGCGACGATATGAAACCGTAAGTGGTCGGTAACAGGGACCGGAACAATGTGAGACAGATCCTATAAATGGTCATTGGGTCGGATTTGCTGAGTTTTTCTTTTTCCCTTCTTCACGATCTAAATAAAATTCAGTCACAGTAACGAAAGCTACGAAGGCTCCAAATGAAACTTGGTCATGGTGAATGATCGGTAGCTATGAAAGTTTCATAGATTTAGGATTTAGTTCTAATCAAAATTTTCAGAATAGAGGCTCTGTTACTATGTTGCAAGCTAAGGCATCTCACTCTCATTTTCTTATTTCATAAGTGAAGTACATAAATATTATAAATAATAGAGAAAAACTAACCAAGTCCCTAAAAAATAGTTAACAATATAGAAAAATGGGAAACAGTATAAAAAAAATAGGAAAGTTAACTAACTCTTTTATTTAATAGAATTACACCAATATTCCTTAGCTTTCTTCAACACATACCAATTATGGTTGGACTATTCGATAGATCTATATGACTGAGTGTGGCTATATACACAACAGCAACTTGAAGGAAGAAATAAAAAAACGTCAACATCTAGAAGATAAGATTCCTTCTCAAATATATGCATTTAGACAAGTTATTGCAACTCAATACAAATAGATACTTGTCTTACAATGGATTAATTGGTACCGAAATATTCTATTGTTGTAAATCAGAAGTACGTGGAATTTCTGCAGCTGAAATATCCTGCACAATCAGCTGAAAATTGTTGGTACCGAATGAAGAGAAAGCTGGGGTAGATGGAGTCGGGACAGGAAAGGTGAAGTCTTCTGATGATGAATCAGAGCAACTAGATGTAGCCTCCGTCAGAACCTCGCTTGGGATCGAACTAGATGCACCTGAGTTAGAACTCATGATCATTTTCATCTCCGAGATTTGATTTGCCATGCAATGTACCATCCTGTCACACACTAGATCAGATTGATATTATCAAAGTAAAGAGCAAGTAAATATTAGATGTTGTAGCTGTACAGTATCAGTTAAATCAGCATCTCCCTTTGACTTTTCCAAGATCTGCGATTGTATTCCTCGCAATTGTAATCCACTACATTAATCAGCATGGTAGCACAATTTGCTTATTTATCTCATCGAATGGATGAATTCTGCGCCCATACATCATGAGGACCACAAGAGGATAAGTTGGGGGGCATGATATTTTATGCTTCTTTTAAAGGTAAATTCCTCATTTTTCCTTACCTCTTTACTAGTGTGACACCCAATTAGGTGTCCATGTGAGAGTGATGTCATAGAAGAGAACGATTTAGCACCTACTATAAGGTCATATGAGCAACGACACGAGACTTGATAGAATAAGAGCAGGGATGCACATTTACAATTCTCAAACTACAGTAGATTGAAGCACAGATTTTAGATCTTGCTGAGTGTGCTCGCAATTGTGTTATACCATGCTGATAGCATTGCCTTTATCTCACCCATTGCTTTACCTACTCTAGAATCCATTTTCTACATCATCTCGTTACACATTGCTATGTGATAGCTTGTACACATGTTTTTTGTTGTACCCAGCACTCCATGGAATAAATTTGTAGCACTTCACAGAGAGACAGATAGAACTCGGCCAATGTTATTTATGTTCAAGGAATACGATCAGGGGAGAATTTGAGAGCTCTCCAATCTCTCCAAAAACCATCTACTCTCAGATTCCAGAAAAGATGTCCTCCCTTGTTCTCTCTTGCTTATATTTACAAAATATATTCCTCTGCCGATTTGCTAACTAACTGGGCCACACTCTTGTAACAGTGGCTCTCAATCCTTCTACCGGTTATACCCCTCTTCCTCGCATACGCCTCGAGGGAACTATCAAAGTCTTACACAACATCATTATCCATGGTTCCATCTGCTTACTCTCGAATGGGTAATAGGTGTATAATTTACGAAGAAAAAGAAAAAGAATCTGTATCCCATAGGTTATTACTTACTTTCTGTGGAAGACTTTTATAAATGCTGAAGCTGATGCTCAATATCATACACTTCCATAACAACTTATCGAGTCAATTTTGATTATAAGTAGGACTCCTAGTTATTTCTTATCATTGAAGAATTCCAATCTCAGTGAGCAAAGTTATTACGAGAACGATGATAAATATCTTGTGGGAAAGGGCCAAAGAGGGGGGAGGTTCTAATTCATAGTCTAATGCTTTGTGGTATAGAGTTATTGTGAGTAAGTATGGTCTACGCGCATCTGAGTGGATTTCAAGCGATGGGTGGATGATAAGCCCCTTTGTATGATGTTTTCACAATTATACCATCTCTCAAATAAGAGATTGCATTTTCTGGTCTTGGTATTGCCTTCCTCAAATCCCTTTTCTTCAATTTCCTTAGGCTTGTGTTGCCCTAGTTTTGATAGGGAAGCAACAGAAGGGTGGTTCTTCTTTCCCTCTTTCATGACCTCTAAGTGTACCTAGGGAAAAGGGATGCTATGACTTGGACCCTCGATCCATCTAGGGGTTTCTCCTACATCTCTTTTTTACAAATTTGGTCTACCCCATCTCCACCCTAAGCTGCATCTATTTTCTCCTCTGTTTAGAAGGTCAAAATCTCATAGCAGATCAAATGGTGTTACGCGGAAGATTCTAATACCTTGGATCGTGTTAAGAGATACTCTTCCCTCATTTTGTACTCGCAGTGGTGCATTCTTTGTAGGCAGCAGGAGGAGGCCCTCGACCCTATGCTGTGGAGTTGCTAATTTGCTCAACCCTATTGGAGTCAGAGGATGAGCCATTTGGTTTAAGTTGGCCAGAGTAGAGATTGTTTCTCAATGATAGAGGTGCTTCTGAGTTCTGAGTTCTCCCTATCTAAAGGAAGGACAAAGTTTTGCGGCATTCCAACTTCATTGTTTATTTTATGGGAAATTTGGATTGAGAAGAACAACAGAGTATCTTTAGAGAAGCGAAGAGATCATGTGCGAAGGTTTGGGAGGTTATAAGGTTTAATACCTCCTTATAGGCATTGGTTACATGATCTATTTATAATTATGAGTTAGGTTTTAGTCTATTGGATTAGAGTTCTTTTTTGTAGTTAGATTTTGAACACCCTTTTAGTTGGGATTTTTTTTAATGCTTTATATATTCTTTCGTTTCTCTCAATGAAAATTCAGTTCGTATAAAAAAAACGAAGGAAGAAGAAGAAAAGGAAAAAAAACACTGCAATAATTCCTAACTGAAAAATTCATTTTTCTAAACACTAGGCTAGGGCTGTAAAAACAATTTGTGACGTGCAAGCTAATTCTAACTACTGGAAGTCGAGGATCTGGTACTCATCTTTGAATTTGAGCTCCTACTCAATTCTATCAATGTGAAACCAATAACAGAGTTCTAAATTATAAACTGGAAGAGAAAAAGAATAATATGAAAACCATTACTAGGAATATGAGAGAGAAATATTTCCAAATTTTAGAAATGTCTTCTATAAATGTTGGTTGGAAAATTCCCAGGTAGGAGGAAATGTTCAGTCATGTGTGATCGGATAGAAAATCAACCTTCCAATTTTTAAGCAAAATTTACCGTACATGCTTTGATCGACAAAATGATATGCTATTACCACCATTTTCCACGCTAAATTCAGTATCGGGGTGAAAATATCATATACTTTTAAGAGGCAGAATGTTAGTAATACCTGCTTATGCAATCTTGAAGTTGCTGCACCTTCCTTTCGTTTTCTTTTAGTTTTTTACGTCCTTCCTCGCTTAATTTCTGTGCTGCAGCACACTTCCTTTCACTTTCATTAGCTCTTTGTCTTTCAGCCTGCAACAGTGCCTGTTCACGTAAATGTGTTCTGTCAACTTTCAGTCCTTTTGAAACTCGAGAAAAGAGGAAACTAAAAATTCTAATAAAAAAAGAAGATATTCTTCATAATAACTGAATGAAAAAAGTTAGCAATATTTCCTTTCATGTTAAAAGCAAATAATACAAAAGAGACGTGGAACTTTACCCTTCCAACTTTGAAACTATATACATGTAAATACACACACATATAGTGTAGAAGGGTAACAAAACAAGCCCACAAAAGAAGTTCTCAGCTATAGGAAATGACTCAAAAAAAAAAAAAACAAACAAACATAGTTGCTAAGTCCAAAAATTTCGATTAACAAACGCCCATAAAGACACATTAAATCTCACAACCTCTCACACCTCCTCCAAAGATCTTTCCACCTCTCTAAAAATCCTACAATTCATCTCAAGCCACACTCTCCACAAGATAGTAAAACAACAGGCTTGCCACAATAAACTTATCCAGAAATCCCAAACATAGAGTGATTGTCCCCACACTCACCAAGACAATCCCAAACAAACTAGAATATTGATTTTAAAGGGAGTGAGTAAACTAGCTACCCCACAAAAAAATGATCTAGATTCACATCCAACTATGAAGAAAAGGACACCGCTGCACTCTCAAAACCAAGGTAGAATGTTACACTGGATAAAATCTCGATGATTCATTTTTCCACATAAAATTTACTAAGCGAGTTTCACTTTCTCAGAGATTTTAATGATCCAAAGAGTGGAAAAAACTGAGGCCCCCAAGATAGAAGAAGAGGAACAAAGGATGAGAAAGAACTCATCTTATCCTGAAATCCCAAACATAGAGTGACTGTCTACACGCACCACGACAATCCCAAACAAACTAGAATATCAATTTTAAAGAGAGTAAGTAAACTAGCTACCCCACAAGAAATGAACTAGATCCACCTCCAACTATCTGCAAAGGACACACCACTGCACTCACAAAACCAAGGTAGAATGTCATACCGGATAAAATCTTGAGGGTTCACCTTTCCACGTAAAACTTACTAAGCAGAGAATTTCACTTTCTCAGAGACTTTAACCATCCAAGGAGCGGAAAAAACTGAGGTCCCAAGACAGAAGGAATAAAGGATGAGAAAGAACTCATCTTATCCTGAAATCCCAAACATAGAGTGATTGTCCCTACACGCACCACGAAAATGCCAAACAAACTAGAATATTGATTTTAAAGGGAGTAAGTACACTAGCTACCCCATAAAAAATGATCTAGATCCACCTCCAACTATCTGCAAAGGAAACACTACTGCACTCACAAAACTAAGGTAGAATGTCACACTGGATAAATCCTGAGGGTTCACTTTTCCACGTAAAACTTACTAATCAGAGAATTTCACTATCTCAGAGATTTTAACCATCCAAGAAGCGGAAAAAACTGAGGCCCCCAAGATAGAAGAAGAGGAACAAAGGATGAGAAAGAACTCATCTTATCATGAAATCCCACACATAGAGTGACTATACCTACAAGCACCATGATAATCCCAAACAAACTAAAATATTGATTTTAAAGGGAGTAAGTAAACTAGGTACCCCACAAAAAATGATCTAGATTCACCTCCAACTATCTGCAAAGGACACACCACTGCACTCACAAAACCAAGGTAGAATGTCACACTAGATAAAATCCTGAGGGTTCACTTTTCCACGTAAAATATACCAAGTAGAGAATTTAACTTTCTCAGAGATTTTAACCATCCAAGGAGTGGAAAAAACTGAGGCCCCCAAGATAGAAGAAGAAGAACAAAGGATGAGAAAAAACTCATCTTATCCTTAAATTCAAATTCCAAACATAGAGTGACTGTCCCTACACACACCATGACAATCCCAAAGAAACTAGACTATTTATTTTAAAGGGAGTAAATAAACTAGCTACCCGACAAAAAATGATTTAGATTCACCTCCAACTATCTGCAAAGGACACACCACTGCACTCACAAAACCAAGGTAGAATGTCACATTGGATAAAATCCTGAGGGTTCACTTTTTCACGTCAAACTTATTAAGGAGAATTTCACTTTCTCAGAGATTTTAACCATCCAAGAGTGGAAAAAACGGAGGCCCCCAGGATAGAAGATCTTATCCTGAAATCCCAAACATAGAATGATAGTCCCTACACCCACCACGACAATGCCAAACAAACTAGAATATTGATTTTAAAGGGAGTAAGTACTCTACCTATCCCTTGATCTAGATCTACCTCCAACTATCTGCAAATATACCACTGCACTCATAAAACCAAGGTAGAGTGTCACACTGGATAAAATCACGAGTGTTCAATCTCCCACGTAAAACTTACTGAGCAAGGAGCGGAAAAAATCTAAGGTGCGGAAAAAAAAACTAAGGCCCCCAAGATGGAAGAAAAGGAACAAACGATGAGAAAGAACGAATGATGAGAGAAACTCTCTACAGGATTAGGCTCCCAAACCCAAACATCCCGTCTACATAAAAAAACCCTTTGATTTGAAATAATAGAAAGAAGGCCAACCACCCCCCAAAACTCATGGTCAGTCAAGAGGACAAAAACTCAAAGAAAGCGAGAGGAAACTTGAATGAAATCAACATAGATGCAACCAAGGGCAACCTCTTCTTACACTTAACAGGAATAACTCATGAACGGACTTAGCACCCACCCACTAATCCTCCAAAAATATATATTTGATCCATCCCCGAACAGAGAACTTTACAAACAGGAAAAAATTGGAAGCCCAAAGCCATAGCAGTCTGCAGATTTTTACTGGTCTTTCAACCCACAAGTTGGAGTCCACTCAAAAGAGCGGGGACCATCTTAACTCACTGATCCCCACACCACAAAGTATTAGATTCCCCAGAGAATTTGAATATAAAATATAGTTCCATTGCATGTGTAGATGCAGTCTCATTAAACCCTTCTATTGCAATAATCTAATAGAAAGAAATATATTTCAAATATGGCATTTGTGTTCTTTCACAAACTATATGACATTACATGCATTACACACATAAATTTCCACGACAGCACTTGTATACTAATCCATCTTTCTCAAAATTAATCCTTCATCTACTACCATTTCATTCTCTTGCATCCCAGGAGTCAACGACTGCTCTGCCTATATTGATTCTGACATAATGCAAGATGTTGACAGCAACACATTACTTCAACTCAAATCAAGCCCATCATAACAATTTGTTATTCTTCCTCTATTTACGACCGTTGGTCTCCCTTTAGCTGGAAAATTTACTTTTCGGAAGTCCAAGTCTAACCAACCAACCTATTTAGCTAACCTACATGTCTAACATGATATTTAATCCTCGTTATCCTTCTAGCATATATACTTGCCCAAGATGTCATTGAAGATCCTAAAAACACAGACAGGAAGAATGGAAAAAATACAATACCAATCAAAGTTGATTGATTTAGAGTTACCTTTAGGTTAGCCACTTCTGCTGTGAGAGCCCCTACTTGTTCGGTATCTTTAACCGGACTAGTGGGCTCTTTAATAATAAAGTATGCTTCTTCTACTTCTTTCGGATAGACATGGCTTTCCTTGGCAATCATTTCAATTGTTTCATCAATGGAGTCTGTACTGCTATTAAGCAACGAACAAGGCGAGACCAGATCCTCCTCTGTTTCTTCCAAGTTAGTCTGTAATCATCATTAGAATTATCGTGTAAATAGAAAGGTACTTCTAAAATAGATTTACTAGTTCGTCTGTGTTTTACCACAGAAACACAATATCCTCCGTCAAGTTGGAAACTACAACAAGAAAGCCAATGTTGTTCTGAACCTTTTCAGTTCAACAAATTTGTTTGACACTCCAAGCTGGAATGAATTCAGAGTTCCCCAGTCATAATCACAAATCTACGCTATTCTAAAAGGGTAGAAATTTCTATTTTTCATCAAGCCCCTCATAACTCTCTTTAAAGTCCAGACTAGCTTCTTTATCACTAAAATGCCTGTCCTGCCTATTGAGCCGCATAACATATTTGTCATCGACTTCTCCTACTTTTCTACAGATTTAAAAGAAAATGAAATATAAATATAGAAAAATAACATAGCAATTGTTTTTTTATTTTTATTTTTTTTTTAAAAAAAAAACCTTGTTTGAAGCTCTTGGAAAACAGATATTTAGTTTTCCTTAAAGTCCACAGTAAATTTATCTAAAATCTAAATAGATTTCTCTCTTGTTTTAGTTATTAATTGAAAATTTTTAAATAAAATATATAGTTCGTAGTTCATTTATTATGAAAAGATAAAATCCTAAGATAAAAAATTATTTTTCAAATTTGCTATAAAATGAATAGTTTAGTTACGAAAAAATCAATAATATTACCTTTATACAAGTTAAACATTATTTTAAAAAAAACAGTACACTGCTGGTTATGAAATAGTTGTTAACTGAAAAAGAAAGCAAAAGAGCAATTCTCGACTTGTTAAAAAATATCCACAGTGAAAAGAGGACAGTTATTATACCTATAGGGAAAATGCTACCTACCATCCTTTGATTCGTAAGACCTTCGTCATTGGTAGATTGTTTTCTAATCATCTTATACTCTGAAGCGCATCTATACCGACGCCCATGTGACTGGACTTGAAAAAAAAAAAGAAAAGATTACTTAAGAAATGACATGGCAATGATAAACGCAATGAAGCATTGAACCAATTGGTTAAACATCCATGAACTTACTTGAATAACTATTGCAGCCTTAACCTGCCTCCTCCTATGTCTGTATTCACAGCGAGCAATCATTGCTCGTATACCAGCCTGAAGAACAACAGTAGAGATCCTTGTTTTAACATGGAGTTTCCTGGCAAGGTATCCACGAATAGTCTTTTGAATTTTGATGGCAGCTGCTTCTCTTCTTTTAATTTCATACAATTCCCGAGCACGAATGCCTAGATGGAAGAATGAAATAAGAACCATTAAGTATTTCTGGAACTCTATTTATTTTATTATTATTATTTTGTTGGGGGTTACCTCTCCAATATGACTGTAGAAGAACGCAACCTCTTTTCTTAGCTATGTACTTTTTACGATCAATTCGAGTTCGGATATGCTTCAGTATAGCTAGGGCAGCGGTAGTATGTCTTTTTGTTCTTTTTGCATCTAGTTCAGCCATCAGATTACCTCTTAGGAAAATTTTTGATGTCCCTATCTGCAAAAGTAAGTGATTAATTTTTTGAAATGGGAAACAATTTCATTGATAAATGAAATAAAATAGAGAGAAATGTCCAACACCTAAATGTGCATTACAAAAAGTATGTCCAGTTAGAAATCAAGGAAGATGAACTTAATTAGAAAAATGGTGTTTACGTTTCCACCAAGACATAGCATGAAAGAGAGTTAGTTCCATAAAATTATCAAAGGTAGAGAAAGTGTCCCTAAAACTTTCAACCACAAGCACCCATCAAATGTAAAATTTCCATATATCAGACAGTTATGAGTCACTCCTTCGATGCATTTGTTCTGATACATTTACTGAACCAGTGTTAAAGCATGTATTGAAAGCAGTGTTTAAGGATATGTTTCATTATTCGTCTACTCATGTTGATTTTCTTTCCTGGTCTCAAAATATTTTTTTATCTATTTACTTGATATTGTTACATAATCACATGCGCATGTATCCTCTTATATACTTTACATTAGGTGGGGCAGAAAATCAAGCTGTAAATAGGGATATTATTTTCTTATATATTTATAGCTGTAATTTCCTTCTTAGAATTAGGCTCATTGCTGATTTTTTGAATCTACTATCACGATCCCTCTTGTATAAATATTTATATTTCCTCACTCAATAATACATCAGAAAATTACTTTTTCTCTCATATATAGCTTCAGGTGGGATCCTCAGTGTTCTTGTTTACCAAGAACACCTTTGATACTTCAGATAGCACCTGTCTTTCATAGCAGAATACCTTTTATCGAAGTTCGGTTAGAAAAAAAAAACAATATACTGTGGCCATTCTGACGAAGATAACACACAATTGCAAGATCTACAAACATCCTCACAATCAGAATAGCCAAAATTTTAATCATGGTTATCGCCCATCAAAGGAACCTTATCCTTTATTCATGATTTCCCAGTCTTCTTATCCTGCTGGTAGAAGGCTGATATCAGATCCAAGGTATTCCACAGTATTTATGTAACTATGAATTTCTGCTCATTGATATCTCAATGTTACTCGTGCAAAAGATTAGTGGCAATTCCTTGATGACTCAAGATAAAACTTAGAGCAAGCAAACAGACATTCACACACTTAAAAGGAAAGAGTGTAGCTTCATTTACCAGATAACCTTTAAGTCCCATCTTCTCTAGAATCTTTCCGCATGCTACCTTCTCTTCATAGCTGCTCATAAGCATTAGCAAGGAGATGTTAAAATACCCCAAAAGGAAATATTTCACAGATTGCAGAATGCAACACCCATTTATATTCTACTTCCAAGTATAAAAAGGAAAAATACTTACTCCCCTTCCAATACCTCGGGTGCAAGAACTCCAAATCGAGATAAAAATTCGGAAAATGTTCTATGAGTAGGGTATCCTGCACATTTGATTCTAACTGCCTCCAGAACACCCTGCACAAATGACAGTGTCGAATGCAAATTAGTTAATGTTAATTTTCAGTTGGACAAAAACACGTGTTTTAAAACTTACACCAGAACGTAATTGTTGCATAACAGTCGCATTCTCAAATATGGCAGGTTGCAGGACAGTATTGGGCTTCACGCATCTTATATAATGGGGTTCTGTCGAATTTAATGTTTCCATCAACTGCTGTAGCTGTAACTGTAGAAAAATGGGTAACAAGCATAACTTTTGTAGAATTCCGTTGTGCAGTCCAGAGGGACATTTGAAGAATATCATTCAATGCAAGTTCATAACATATAATACCTTAAAACGAGAGCCAATTGAAGAAAACTTTGATGATTTGGCCATGTCCTCAGGAAAAGGAGGGAAGAGACCAGCAACAAAAGAACATTTTGAAGCACTTAACAAATCTTGATGTTCAGGGACAACATAATCTTTATTTTTGTCTAGAAAATGTTCCGACTGATATAGAACCTGAAAAAGTGCATGTATGTATATTGACCTTTAAGTTTCTTATTTTTAAATAAATAACTTTAGGTTAAATTACAATTTTAGTCCATGAACATTTAATGTTGTCTGATAAATCCTTAGACTTCAAAAAGAGCCTAAGAGATTGTAAACTCTCATCTTTGTGTCTAACAAGTCCTTAAACTTTAAATGCATCTAATAGATTCTTAAATTTCTAATTTTATATTGAATAGGTCCCTTTCGTCTTAGGCATATTTTAAATTTCACAAACCTATTAGACACAAACTTAAAGGTCAAGGTCCTAGCAGACACAAAATTAGGTTCGTGAACTTTAGAAAATATCAAAGAGGTTTGGGAACTATTAGATACAAAATTGAAAGTTCAGGGACCTAATGGACACATTTACCATTTAGGAACCTATTAAAATTTAGATACTTACTAGACTTAATCGTGGAAATATAGGAACTAAACTTGTAATTTAACCATAATTTAAAAGAAAGACAAACCCACATCTCCTGCATAATGAACAATAGCAAATTCTGAGCGAGCCAATTTTGGCTTGATGAAGCGTTTATGATTTTTGAAGATTTGGTACAGCTTTTGTGCAAATGATTCATGATTTGATTTTGGGAGTATGCTGTTCATAAAAATTATAAAATTAAATAGGTCAAATGGGTAAAAAAATTGTAATCAAGTAAATTCAAGTAAATTTTCATGAGATTTCTTTTCTGCCTACAGAAACTCAATAGCATTTGAAAATACTAATAGTTTCCAAGAAAAAGGTTGCTCGTGGAAATTACAATGATGATTTGGCTTTAACTTATGTCTGGCCACATAAATTTCTAGAGCACAAAAAATTTGGAATTCGTGAAGAGCTACTCTATGTGCTGATCAAATGTGCAACTTGTTTTATGGCTGGGGGAAGAAAATGTTAATTAGTTACAGTAAAAGAATGAGCATACCATGCTTCATCAAGAAGAGCAATGATTCCACCTGGTTTCTGCAAAGGCACAAAGAATTAGAGGCCATGCCAGAGAGGGATACAGAGAGGATAAGCTAAATTAGTAAATCATGTTCAAAATTAGAAGATACCAATCGAAATATTTGTATTCCTGTACAATAAGTCATTAGTCTTCCAATAAAGAAATAAACACATGTTCAGGTATAACAAGTAATAGTAAAATATTCTCCAACTTCATAATTTCAACATTATCCAAAGACAGTGCATTGGACAAGATTATTTATCTAATAATCATTCATAAATAGTGTAGAAAGTAAATTGCATGCTTTTTTTTTTTTTAATATTCGTGAGTGTCTAAGTCAACTAATGTCATGAGATAACTACCTTACCCTACTACATTTGGTTTCCATGAAACATGTAGGATATTAAATCTAAGGTAGGTGGCCACCCTGGATTGAACTCATTCCTTCTATAAACTCTTTATCATTCCCATGACCCTTATTGACCACTAATCTCACGAGTGTAGAAAGTAAATTGCATGCTTTTTTTTTAATATTCGTGAGTGTCTAAGTCAACTAATCGTGAGATAACTACCTTACCTTATTGACCACTAGGCTAGCCCATGATGTTTAATTAAATCACTTGCAATGAAAAACACGCCCTCTCAGTTCTTAAGGAGATTTCAAAGTCTTTGGGATGGATGTTTGAGCGATTATTTTACCATTGCAATTTACGTTTGGGGTTGGCTTGTTTACTAACATTCATGGTATTCTTTCTTTAAAATATATGTGTGTGCGTGTAGCCCATTACAACACCAACAGAACCAACCCAACCAATGATTGGATCCAGTTAGGGTCATGTGAGTGACACATTCGCAATTTATAGAGCCGTTTATTCAGTAAAAGACCGGATATACCTTTCCCCGAGTCTTTAATCACAGGTATTGAAGCTGTGTATGTGAGCAGTATTTACCTATGTTATATTGAGTGAGAAAATATTAAAACTTATGGAAGGAGGATTCCAAACATAGATCACATAAATCATCAATTAGCCTAAGCTAATAAAAGAAAGAAAAAAAAAACGAGTTGAACTATGCTTAAGTTGGCGATTATACAAGGAAATAAATATCTACCCAATTTACTGCTTGGTTTTCTACAGGCAATTCACCAATAATCATAGGCAGCGAACAAACCAGCGTCATGATGGTTGGATGGATAATATGAGAGAGATCATAAATGGACTAGAAGCCCCAAGCCAGCTATTCTCCAAAGTTGTCAAGAGGTTAATGGATGCCTGGATGGTTAGAACTAAAGCAAGAAAAAAGGGATATTCTTTTCCAGGAAGATACTCGGTTGAGGGAGAGGCCTCAGAAAGATGCTTTACACATGCTCCAATGCTTATCAATTTCCGATTTGTAGTTACTAGTCAGAAGAAAAATAGGGGTAGGACATTGTCGCAGAAGGAATGTTAATGAATGAATATATTGAAAGAGACAATATGTCCTTATTGCTTCAAGGAGTCTTTTCAGCCATTTTCCTGAGTTTTAAAAAGGTGAAAGCTCGTCAGTATGGATTTTAAGAAGGTAAAAACTAGGGGTAGGATCTTGCTTCCTGCTCTTTTATAGAATAACATCACTGACAAGTGCTGATGCACAAAATTCGAAAAGCTGTTTCCTTAGAAAGATACTGTTTTCTTAGGGTCTTTCTCCAACAAGGTCAGACCACGAATAATAGGGTGCAACAAAGTTTTTTTAAATTTGTACCTTGCTCCCATTAAATGCAATGTAATATTCCATTTAACAAGGTTAATGGTACCCCATCCACATCTAGACATGATTTACAAACTCTCCCAATTAACTAAATGGGCGCCACCAGCCTAATCTACTCCCTCCTAAAGAAAGTTTTTCATAAGCTTTTCATTCTGAGTAGCCACCTTCACAAGAATCTCAAAAAGAAATTGTAGGCAAGCTTGCAAGAATAAAGCGATACTCCATTAAACTAGCATTTACTCTTGCCAAGTCTCTTTTCTTTTTCTTTTTCTTTTTTTTTTTTTTTTTTTTTTTTTTCCCTTT